GAATAACCTAGAAGGCAAGTGGGTGTTAATGACTTGTTTGCCACGCACGTCCAAGAGCATGCGCCACCCTCTGTTATGAAGTCCCCTGGAGAATGTGAGACTCCCACGCTAATAGCGGAACACAGATCGTTCTCATTCTATAGGGTCAAAATAAAGATGTAATTTTATAGTAAGTTTTATTTAAAGTCCACCTATTTTCTAGTATTATTTTATAGCATTTCAAAGAAGCAATGCTCTTACCTTCTCGACAGTAATTTTCCTGGGATTCTAGAAACCCTGTGTATAGAAGTGAACGGAGCTCACTCCCACTTGTCTCTGCGGCATGTTGCCCTCCCCACTGCCCACACACTGACCATCACTCGCCTTTGCGCCCGAGATCAGCAGCTTCCTGCTGCAGTAAGAGTTTCCCTCCACCTTCCACAGCTGGCTCTCTCTATGTGGGCTCAACTTGGGGACAGTCCCTGGATAGTGTCCTCAAAACCTCCAGACTTTAAATCAGGCTTTTTTTTTTTTGTCTTCTAGATGGTAATGTTATTTTTGTTCTAGATGGATTCTCCCCGCCCTAGGTGGCCCCCAGGTGAAGTGCAGAACTGTGGATGGACAGATCACAACCCCACGACCCAGCCTTGTCCAGAGGACCTGCCCAGAGTGTGTCTTGGCCTCCATGGTTTGCCAAGAGAATATTCAGGCCATATTTGGGGTAAGCAGAATAATCACAAGGTACTTCCTGCTGATTCTATGCTCTCATAGGACTCCAGCCCAAACTGCATCCGACCCCAAGAAAACACCCTACTTGACATGAAGATTTTATGGTATAAGGTCAACTTCATCACTTACAACCAAAGCTATCGACTGGGCATCCCCCAAACTCACAAACTACAGAATCTATGAACTTAGAAATAAACAATGTTCCAAGCCAAGACATTCTTTTGGTGGCCCACAGGACAAGAAGTCGATGCCAACCCCCGTGGGGCCAGTCATCACTGAAGGAGCAAGGCCACCCTCTCATGCTCCAGGGCGCCATTATGTAGGAGGAATCTCCCAGCCTATCCACTGGCCAAGACTGGCGCCTCATGGAATGGCAGAGGCCACATGCGTCACGGGCAATTTCTTCTCTGATGTGTTTTGCAGATAATTTCATTCTGAGTTTTAAACTAAATGCCTCACTTTCGCTGAATCCTTAAAATAGTTCAGTTCAATTATTTGAAATAAATCCTAAGTTCTTAAAATAGACTGCACATTTGAAAAGCAGGTCTGAACTAAGAAAAGACTACATGTCAGAAACTGGCAGAACCTCTGGGCACCGCACAAACACGGGGAGAAGCAATCAATTTTCTGGTTCCAGGGAAGATGTAGGATCGTGTATCAGGAATGCGTTCCATTAAATAGTAAATAACAAGCTACTTGACACGGCACTCACCGGGTCGTTTAAAATATTTTAGTAATTTGAAAGCTTGTCATTGTGACATATTTCTCTTCCCAGGGAATTCCAGGAAAAGTATCATTTAGACCTGAGTTATTTGATCAATTGATTTAATTCCATCTGTGAAAGAGCATGCACAATGTGTATGAATTGTGCAAGGGTTCAAGAGAGATGCAGGAGTAGGAAGTGATGTCCAAAGTGAGCATGTGGCTTATTCCCTTTCTTCTCCAACATGGCTGCTAGTGAGTTGCACACTGTAGGAAGATTTCACAGGCTTCTTGATGAGGAAAAATTCTATTATTTATACAAAAAAAGGTGGATCAAAAGGGACTGATTTTAGCCCATCCTCTGGAGGCCTGTTCTCTTACTATATATGCCAGAACCCGCTAATTAAAAACACACAAAAGCAGTTAGGAGCTTGAGAAGAGCCTGAACTTACTGACAATAACCTTCTGGAAGACAGACAATGCAGAGCTGATGCTGGTGGGCTGACCGCCTGGAGCGATCTGCTCTGAGAAAGGGACATGCCGATCCGGCTGTCGGGGGCATTTGGAAAAACAGCACGGGGGTGAGGCTTCCGAACAGAACAGGTGGTTTGTGTGCACAGCTCAGAGATGAATGAGCAGGACGGGTGGAACACTCTAGATCCCCAGTCCAACTGCATCACTAAGCAGAGACAGCATTTCCTCCAAGGGCTCCGTGGGAGAACAGAGCCTTCCGGACAGCGGGGCCTGCAGCTCGGGACGGACTGGGCAGGTGGAAAACAGGGAGGCTCTGCCCAAATCCACTGTGTCTGCTCCAAAGCTGTTGTTTCATCATGGAAATCCCTCAGATGATTAACAGCGAAATTAACGTTCTGATGTTTCTTAAATACCAACTGATCAGAATTCAAGGCCAGTCCCTCGGGAAAATGAGTGAAATTGGGCCGTGCAGGCAGATGGCCCAGCTACTCTGGATCCTATCCAGCCTCCCCTCCAACACGAGTTCAACATCATCCCATAGTGGCTGGATTTCCGCACTTCTGGTGCCTCGGGAAGGGCGTCTTGATTTCAAGATTCTATATGCATTTATCCAAAGACTGACAGAGACCCGCTTGACCGATACCCGTGCTCTGAACATAAAGACACGACTCTTTACTCCCTTTCCTGGAGCCCATGGGCCCATCAAAGGCACTTGGCATCCATCCTCTGGGTGCATGCAAGTGTCCTTTGGTGCCCAAAAGTGACTTTATAAAGAGAAGGTGGGAGACTGGGCTGGGAGGCTCCTCACTCCAGCACCACAGGGACCCTCATGCCAACTGCAGCCTAGATCCCCGTCGCCCCAGGAAGGAGACTTCCCCTCCCTGCACCGGGACAGCTCCCTGTCTTGGGGAGGACCGTGTTCACCCTTCCCGGAACTGTTTCTGGAAAGTTCTGTGGTGTCTGTTTGTTATCAGTTAAAATTACAATATACCTGGGCTGTGGTCAGCGGAATGATTTTTTGAGGGGGTGCATTGGTAGGGAAAGGCCCAGCGGCATCGAAATGAAGGGACCTGAAGCCCCTCTGGGAGGACGCTGCAGGTTTGGGCCTCCAGCCTCATCCGTCTGTCACAGAGAGGAGTCCCATTCCGAGTGGGGGTCGGGGGTCAGGTCCCACGGCCCAGTGCCAGCGCTCTTCCTCCCTCCCTCCCCTCTGCTGCCGGGAAGCCCCAGGAAGCCCCAGGAAGGGCGGAAGATACCAGGATGGACACAGGCTCTGAGGCAAGATGGCATTCTTCTCCCTGCAGACAGGTGCCACTTCTAAGACACGATTTTTTTTTGGTAGAAATAATATTGAAACTGTATTTTTCAGACTTCATACAACATAAGCTTAAAGGATAATTGGGTGACACAGGGGCACCTGGCTGCTTTAGTCAGTGGAACGTGCCACTCCTGGTCTCGGGGTCGTGAGCTGGAGCCCCGCGCTGGGCGCGGAGATGACTTAAAAATAAAATCCTTAAAAACATACAAAGATAAAAAAACAAAGAATAGTCAGGGGGCATAAAAATGGTGACCGGGTGATGGTTTTAACCAGAAATCATCATAAATCAATGATGTGAGGTCTGTTTCTCTCAGATCTACAGAGTATGATTTTTCTTTACGATGATCACACTTTCCATCTGTGGTGCTATTTATACAAACATCAGTTTTTAGAACTTGGCACTGGAACCCTAGCCGCCGCCGTCCCCCTGGTCTCCACGCCCTCACAGCCCGCCAGCCGCCATCGGCCTGTGGGCCCTGTCATGGCGGCCTTCCGTGCGCCGCGTCTGCCCTCACAGGGTCCCGTGAGTCTCCTGACTTTCAGAATGACTTCCAGTGCGAGGCCTTGTTCTACCCAAGCAGAGCAGGGGGTGGGCTCCAGTGGCACCGCCTGCCTCCTGAATGTGCTCCGGACTCTAGGGCCCATTTTTTTTACAAGATTTATTTATTTAACTGAGAGAGAGCAGGGGCAGGGGCAGAGGGAGAGGGAGAATCTCAAGCAGACTCCCCGCTGAGCATGGAGCCCGACCCGTCCTCGATCCCAGGGCCCGGAGATCATGACCTGCACCGAAACCAAGAGTTGGGGTCTTCACTGACTGCGCCACCCAGGTGCCCACATACCCACGGCACTGACCCTTGACACAGGCGGCTGGCTCCCTGCTGGAGGCCTAGGCCATGCCGTGAGAGGACAGATGTGTGGGCGGCGGGTCGCGGCTGGGTGTGCCCGCTGGGCACGTTGAGTACCAGGCTCTGGCTGGACGTCGGGCACCACCTGAGCTCAGGAAGTGGCCCCTGACTCTCTCTTCATGGGTGGCCTTTTAGATCCCCTGCCTTCTCTGCCAGAGATGGCAGCCCACGAACCCTGCCATGCCTTCTGCCCCCCTTCCAGGGAGCTCAGACACACAGACCCCGAATTACACCCCTTTGTGTGGGACTCAGGAGGAAAGGAGCCACAGACCAGGGCCGGCAGGAGGGGCTCCCGGCGGGTCTCCCGGCCACGGGTGCTGCCGCCACAGCTGGGGGGCGACGAGCATGGAGAGCTGTGCACACACGGAGTGTGACCACAGTCACGCAGCGCCCCCCGCCCCCCTTCACTTGCCACCTCAAGCTGCCACTGGGAGCTCCTGCAATCTCGTGCAGAGGGGAAATCTGAGGCCAGGGGGAATTACTTTGCCCAACATCACAAAGCAAGCAGGAGGCACCCAACTCCAACCCAAGAGCTGCCGGACATGCACACCCATGCCCTCGCCCAACACACGGAACCCGTGGCACCCTGGCAGCTCCGTGCATGCCTTCAGGGCTCCGGAGGAGCACTGGCCGGGGAGAGCACATGGGCCCCGGGGAGGGCCAGACGCTGTCCAGGGCCCACAGTGCCTGGAGCCACCGAGGACACCTTCCCACTGAGGCACGGGGCGCCCAGAGCAGAGTCACTGAGATGGGACCTGAGACCTCCCACCCTCTGCTTACTGGTTAAATCTGCTCTTTACTCAGTCACTAGAGTCAAAACAATCCTTTTTCTTTCTACGCCTCCTAACTGTCTGCGAAGGAAAGACGCGGGAGCAAAAGGCCTTGTCCCCTACCTGTTCCTCTTGGTCTTCAGGTCGCGTTCTGCCCTGCCGTCCTCAGACTGTGACCCGTCACTGTGGTCGGCTGGAAGAAAATCAGCTTAATGAGGCTGGAATGTCAGCTCCCATCACTCTGGCAAACCCCTGAGATGCACTCACTTTCAAGCAGAGTCATCTGGGAATTAGGAACACAGAGATTGACCCCTGGAACCAGCCTTCTCTTAGTACTCCTTGTAAGTTCCAGCAGAAGAGAAATCTGATTTTCTTCTGTGCAGAGAAGGCATTTAGAGGCTGCTCGATCACCCAGCAGAGCCAGAGGACGGAGAATCAACGGATGGCATCTCCCAACCCCTCCCGGCACGTGGGGATGCAGGCCCTGGATGAGCCCTCTGTGTCCCTTCTATGTCACGTGCACCCTCACATTCTTGCAAGTGGACCAAGAGACCCTGGTTCCCCCCTTTGCCTCCAGGAAGCATCACCCCTCCCCTGCATGCGGCATGCACTTCATTCCCGACTACGTGTCTACTTCAAAAACCCAAATTGATTTTGAAGACAGGTCCCCTATTTCCAACCTGAGGCGGCTGGCCTTATAAATATTGGATGAGCTTTTGGAATGAAAAAGTAAAAAGGTGCTTCAGTGTTTCTTATTTGTCTCCAAAAGGGAGAGAGAAAAAATGAGGATCAACATGGTTCTAGAGCATTATTATTTCAGTCCTGACACATGAATGATTTCCAGACATTCCCCGGCATCACAGTGTTTTCTTGCCTTGCTTCTCACTCTGTATCCATCACACCCCAGAGACCCCTTCTTCTTGCTCCTGTCCCGGGCGGGCAGAGGTGCAGGGGGCTGGGCTCTGTGGGGCATCCCCAGGTCCCCGTGTCTCCCACCCACCTGGCTGCCTAAGCCCTGCCCTTCCTGAGGAGGCTCCGCCAGGAGAACATGGCCCACCGCCTCAAAGAGTGCACTGTTTGGAACCCAGCAAAGTCTCCAATCCAGTCAATTCCTAGTTTGTTTCAGTGTTCAGTGTGGGGCTGGCAGCAAGATGAGAGAGTCAGGTTCTGGAAGCTCCCGGCTGCCCCAGCCCACTCGCGGCCACCCACGCCACACTGTGTGCACTCCACCATCCCGGGACCCAGGGGGACCTGAACGGGACCAAGAACGGGCCACAGGCCTGTCCACGCCACATGCCCTCGGCCCGGCTGGCAGGACAGCACCTTCTGGAGGACACTCGCCCAGGAAGGTGGCCCCACAGACATGGACCCGGTCCAAATGAGCATGGAGCGGAGCGAGCTCCTTGTGGGACAGAGTGTGTGTGTTTGGGGGAGGGGGGCGGGCATTCGGGACCTCAGCTCAGGGAAGGCTGAGCATCGGTGGCCTTAGCAGCCCCGTCAGGGCGCCTCACGCCCTAGTGACACTCGGGGGACAGGTCCCAGGTCCAGAAACTGCCAAACACCCCCCTAGGGGACAGAAGCCCCCCTCCTCATTGAGAACCAGAGGAAAGAACATTTGTGAGAAATGCGCTCATGTGAGGTGAAGCTCACCTTCTTCCCGCTCCACACACTCTTCCCACACGGCCGCTCCGGGACGCCGGCCATCTGTCCCTTCCAGGCTGCTGACCCCTGCAGGCCAAGAGGCATGCTCTCCCCCACTCCGCCCTGTTCTCTCCTCCTGGCCTCTCTGCCTCAGTGACCCCACAGGCACCCCAGCCCTGCACGTTCAGACTGGGTCCACCCTCACGCCCCCCGTTCCCTGTCCCAGCCTCCACGCCCACCAGCATCCCTGCACATGACACCCAGGCCTGGATCCTGGCCCCTCTGCCCCCGTGTACGCGCTGGGCTCTCCCATGGACCCCGCCTCCGCCTCTGACCTGACTTCTCTCCCACGCGCCCTGCAGACATCTCTCTCGGCACTTTCTAAACTCCATGACATTTGCGACAGACAAGGCGTTCAGGTAAAGTTGTCTGTCCTGTCGCTCTTTACACTGGTGTTTGTGAGACAGCGTGAGGGAGAGGCGCCTTGGTTCCTTCCGAGGCACAGAAGAGAGAAAGACCCTCAACACTGGGGCTGCCCTCGGCAAACAGAGGGGCAAGGCGGGTGTCTCTCCTGCCTGGACAAGAGTCCCCAGGAGCCTCTCCTGCCCTAGGCTGGGTCAGAACTGGCCCAAGGTGGGAGAGCTGGGGCGGCAGACCCGGGGGCATGGTCATGGGTGTTGGGATGAGATGCCAAGCAGCAGGGCTCCCTCGTTTTTCGGGGTGGCTTTCTTGCACCAACAACTGTGTCTCCAATTCTCTGGACACTGACTGGGACTGGATGTGCAATAATTCAATTAGACTCTGGCACTAGCTGCCTGGAGACCACGTGGGGCCCACAGGACACGGGTATCCCTGCTTCTGACCGACCAGCTGGAAATCGTGATGCTTGATGCGTGCTAGAACAGTCCACAGAATTCAGGGAAACACCTTGTTCCCTGGCTCAGAACTCACTGTTCCTGGGCAGCAGGTGTCCCGCCACGTGGCCCTCCTCCCTCCTCCCTGCCCCTCCTCCCTACCTCTCCTCCCACCCCCTGATTCCTCCTCCCTCCTCCCTGCTCCCTCCTCTGCAGGCCCAGGGCAGGTGGCAGAGATGGGTGGGGGTGTCAGCCTGCACTGGGGGACATGAGGGAATTAGAACAGGTAGATCTGGACCCTGCACTACGGCCCTATCGACCTCCACTAGCTGGGGACCTCCTGACACCAAAATCAGTCTCTGCGTTCTTTGTTCCTCGGCAGGTCATATTCAATCTATGAAAGAAGTGCAGAATGACAGAGTCAGGCAGACACAGAGCCTGAGCGGAGCTGGACAGTGTTGCCTGCGGCCCCAGAAAGAGGGTAGAAGCCTTGGCACAGGTTACTGGGCCAGAGAGTCCGGCAGGAACCAGGGGTCAGTCACCCTGAGGGACGAGCCACCTGGTCACTTGGAAAGGCTGCACTCACGGTGCTTCCCCACCCCCGAGTTTCACCGTGAGCTTGCCCAGGCTCCTGCCCCTCCCCGAGCCCCCCACAGGAGATGGGGGCCCCCAGGTGGACCCCCCTCCCTACTTCCTGGGGTGCAGTGTGAGCGGATCCTCTTCAGGAAGCTCCCCGGCCACTGGTCTGGGGACTCAACATTGCACCGTCCACCCACAGCCTCTCCTCCTGCCCCACAACACGGCTGTGGCTCCCTGTCACTCCCCGTGGGCTGTCTGCTCGCTGCCGGGTCCGGGTACAGCCCGGGGCTAGTCCGTCCAGCCCCCAAGTGCGCAGTGATTGGTCTGGAAGGGAACTGTGCCCTCTTCCCCCCCCTTCGTTCCTGGGTCCGCAGAGGGGGTGACAGCTTGAGGCATTAGGTTCTGGGGGAAACCACTGGGGAAAATGCTCTCCCAGTCTCCCCTGTCCACAGCTGCACGCAGCCCCAAGGCACAGACGGGATCAGCGCTCATTCAGTGGCGCATCTGAAACCCAGAGGGGCCTCTGACCTGCCGTCCAGGCCGCCGGGCTGCAGCAGGGGAGGGGGGAAGGTCACAGAGCATCGTGACGACCCCGCGGTGCCCAGGCGCCTGGTCTGTTCCTTCCAACCCGGCGGCCTGGCAACTTCCACTAGAGTTCATCAGGCTCCCTGCAGGTGGCTTTCTGAGCATATGGCCTGTCTCCACTCATCTGCCGGGTCTAGGGTCCTAGATTGGTCAGTGTGCAAAGAGGAGGCCCAGGCTGGGGGCTGCCGGGCGAGGGATGCGGGTCCCATGTGAGGGTCAGGGTCCCTCCCAAACAGCAGGGACGGGGGAACTCTGCATGGGGGGGGGGGCTCTCCTCCACCTGATCCTTGGGACAGGTGATGCCCACCTTTGGGCGGCGGAGGCCAAGTCGCCAGGGACATTGTCAGCTGAGCCTGGACACCTGGCCCCACTGTGGCTCTGAGACCCGTGTACCTCCCCGGGCAAACACAGCTTGGCAAAGCCAGCCTCTCACAAGTCACAGCTGTGTTTACTCACAGGGATGGTTTTATATCCCACTTGCAAAATGAACATTATTACCAATGTACATTTGTCTTGAATATAAATGACTAAAATGTTTACAGAGGAACTGAAGCCAAGTGACGTCCGTGCCACCTCTGTGGCAGGTTGGGGACAAAGCAGCCGAAAGGACAGGGCTGCCTGCACCTGAGCGCGGGTGTGTCAGGCACAGGGAGCACAGCGTCTTCCAAAAGAGCGTTCTTATCACAGATTCATAGCTCGTAAGAAGCCTGGTAAAGCTGCCCCTCCTCGGGTGTGGAGTCCAACCCACCTGGGTGTAAATCCTGCCCCTGCCCCTCCCCTGCCCCCCGCTTGGTAGAAATGTGACCCTGGGCGAGTTAATTAATCAATCTCCTTTAATTCCCTCTTCTGTAAAATGGGTATAGAGCCGGTGGGTTGTAGAATGAGGGTCCCCAAAGATGGGCATGCCTGCTGCCTGCACCTGTGAAGGTATTAGGTTCTAGAGCATAGGGGGATCCAGGGGGCTAAGCAGCTGACCTTGGGGTGGGAGAGCATCCCAGGTCAACCAGGTGAGCCCAGTGTAATCATAAGGACCCTTCCAAGGGGAGGAGGAAGGCAGGGGAGTCCCAGAAAGCTTTGAGGACGCTGTCCCGCTGCCTCTGAAGGGGGAGCAAGGGGCCTAGAGCCCCAGAAACCAGGCGGCCAGGAAACACGGCTCCGCCAACCCCACTGGGACTCACGCAACATGACAAACTGGGCTTGTGTTAAGCTACGGAGCCTGTGCTAATGTGTTACAGCTGCACCGGGCCACTCACAGGCGGCACCCACCTGGTGAGGCTGTGCTGAGCGTAAGCGACCAGGCTCCGTACCCGCATTTTCCCTGCGGAGTCTCTCCCCTCTCCCACCTCTGCGGCTCTCAGCCCACGGGGCTCCCCCTGCCCGGAGCCGGGCGTGGAGGGCGGCGTTGCTGCAGGGGAACGCAGGCAAAGAGTGCAGCGTCTGGTAGGCTTGAGGACCGCGTGAGGACAGGCAGGTGGACACACGTCCTCTCCACCAGGGAGCCGGCCAAGGTCCCCAAACGTCAGGCCGGGGACCGAAGGCCGGCCCAGACCCCTGCTTCCTGGTTCCCTTTAGCTTGGTGGCTATTTACTCCAAACTAACAGCAGAAGTACTAGAGCCATAAAAAATCTGGAGGCACCGCAAGATAATTAGGAAATAATTCAGGTCTTTGTCTGAGTCTCTCAGCAACGCTAACAGAATGAAAAAAGGGACTTTTCCCTTAGCTGTTGAGTGACGAGTAGCTTAGCACTTTTGGCAGTTCTGTATCCCGTACCACGAAGCCGCCTAACCGCATTAGCTCCCACCCGAGCCATATGTTCCTAGCACACAAACCCATCTAGAACCGGGAGCCCGACGTGCAGCAGCTGTTTTATAAAATTCATTTATTTCATTTGCCTCTTGAAAAATAGCTGGTATCAATTGGAATGCCTAATTGTTCTATTTCAGACTAGAAACAGGTATTAATATATTCAAATCCATAATGACTCATAGTTGAACAAAATGTGAAAAACAAAATTCTCCACCAAGAACACTCTCCCCTGGAGCCGGTTCTCATAATAATTAGGGTCAAATCGTTTGATGAGTCATGATGGATGAAACAGCCAGGGAAAAATGTCACTTGCCGATGGCTGGAGGTCATCAACTCTGCCCACTAATCGGTAATTAATCCTCCAGGAACACCTTCTGCCCTAATTGTTTTGCTGCAAACAAAACAATTTGGGTGGTTGGATCTTAGAAAATTAGAAATTATTCACTGAAATGTCAAGTCTACCCTGCAACAAGAAGTTGAGAATTAAGGTCATTTGCATATCTTTAAGATTCTGGTTAAAAAAAAACACTCATTTTAAGAAAATCTCTTCCTCTTTTTACAAGAAGAAGCAAGGTTAAAACTTGTTTTGTAACTACATGTAATGTTATTAATAATATCTATCTAGGTAGAGTAGTTAGGGCCGTTGTAATAAGTTAATGGAAGACAAGTATCTTGATATATCAAATCTAAACTAATCAGGTATTTCTGGTTGTGTTTGTGTTTGTTAGACTTCAGGCTCAATTCTCTACTGTTTTTTAGTATAAAGTGAGTGAAATGGAATGCTGATCTGTGACCCAGGTAATTCAGATCCTGCCGTAAATTAAACAAGGAGGCCATTAGGCCAACAGGGCTCTGATGCCTTGGAGGGCTACTTAAGCAAACCGAAACCTAAGCCCATAAATGTCTCAGGTTGCAGAATCAATCAAAACGCTGAGGACGGTCAATCACAAAGAGCCAAGTAGGCTTCAAGCTACAGCCAACCCCACCTTCTCTGTATCTCTCCTGGGCTCCCACCAGCCACCTCGAACTGCATCAGATATGGTGCTGCCCCATTGGAACCCGGTTTCTGCGCAAATAAACTTCAAATGTTTCATGTACCTCAGTTTACCCTCCACCCTGTCCTCCACCTGCAGTCCTCACAAGCCCTGACATGGCAGGTGACTCAGTGGGGAGTTCTGTGGATGCCTCTCTGTCTCTCCTAGAACTGGCTTCATTCGGTCCAAAGGAGAGAAGCCATGGGGTAGCCAGGCACTGACTGTTAATGAGTTCCTTTCTGGTGCCTGCCAAGCTTTGGGGAAAAAAGAGGAAGGAAGGAAGGAAGGAAGGAAGGAAGGAAGGAAGGAAGGAAGGAAGGAAGGGAGGGAGGGAGGGAGGGAGGGAGGGAGAAACAGCCCCCAATTATCTACGATGCAAGCTAAGGAAACTGCCTCCATTATTTGACTTTTATCAATCAAATCAAATCACAGCCATGATAACTGCACCTTGATCTGTCTTAGGAGATTGGGGGTCTCCTGATGCCCCAATATGTGCACTGTTCTGCTGTCTGTGAGTTGGGACCTTGGGAGATTGTTTTCTATGAGGATTTGTTTTCAAACCCTTCAACAAAACATCCCATTTTGAGGAAACAAAATCACAAACCCAATGCTTATTGTCCCTGAATGCAGCTAAGTTTTTACAGATTCAATTAAATATGCACCTAAAACATTTCTCGTCCCAACATGGGTTGACTCAGGCTCTCTGGAGAAGTTCTCATCATGCTAGGTGAAATAAGCATATTAAATCTGCCTTTCTCAATCTCAACAGACCACCACCAGCTTTAGAAGAGCAGCATTTTCCAGTCTCTCAGCACTGTTAAAAATGTTAAGAACACTTTTATAACACCGTTTTCTAAAGTTCCAGTTAAATGCCTCTGCCTTTGGCTAAAAATGTGGGTGGATGTTGTTGTGCGTTGGCCCTCTATAATGGGAATAAAAAACATTGCAAACTCAATAAAACACCCCATAAAAATAAAACAAAGCCCCCTTTCAAGGGGTCAAGATCAAGTTTCCTGGCCTCTCAGCCACGTGTGTGCATCTCAGGCTGGGAGGCAGCTCCTGACTAAGTTTCTGCGCTGGAGCCAATGCTCTTTTTACCCACGTGCTCAGGGAATGGGGCTTTCCCAACACCGCAGCTAATAAAAAATATATTACATATAATCAAAAAGGATCCTTGCTGGAAATGCTAGCCATTCTTCTCTGACTCCGGGGAAATGGGATTTCCACGGGTGTCTTCAGATACAGCTACCTGTCCGCCAAGTGCCCGTCCCTCCGGAGGGAGCGCATCCTTCGGCCCATGTGGCCTTTCCCTTGAATTCAGGCACCCTTTGAATAAACAATGGATGATGGGTCCCGTTCAAAGCTTCGACACGAATGTGTGAGGTAGAAGGAAATATGCTCCTGTTTGCGTGCATGTGGTCTCTCAAGTGGAGTTCATGAAACATTTGGAATAAAAATTAAATGTTGGCTAATGACCATGCGGGAAGCTTCAAGAAGCTGAGGGAACGAAAAAGCCTTCTCTGAGTTAACAACTTTGCGAAATGTGAAAAGAAAGCCCTAGCCAGCCCCCTGGAAGAAAGTGTCTTCGGCAGGAAGTGCGATAAAATCTTAACTACTAAATTCTCAAATAGTGAACACAATTCTTTAAAAATCAATTTCCAGCATAACCAGGAAAAACATGCTTTCCCTTCCCGTTCATTAGGAATACACAGTTTAAACACTTAGGAAAGCGGATGCAAACAGCCCGGTTGTTAATTACGTGTTGGCGCCTCCAGCTTGCGCTTGTGGGGTGGGTCCTCGATGATCCTGTTGAGGTCCCCGCGGTTTTTCAGGTCCACGGGCTTCTCCCACACGGACAGCTGCATCGTCGGGTTGAAGAAGAAAACCCGGTCATCGCCCGTCCAGACCACACACCTGTTTGAGCGGAAAACTCACCTCAGTTCCCCTTGAAGACATTCAGTTAGGAAATCACTGACCTGCGACCTAACCCAAGAAACGCTTGGTGCCTGAAATCCACACGTTTGCAAAGGTGACTTATGTAACTTATAAATTAAAATGACCCTGTCTGGCTTTTTAGGAGACTTTACAGAGCTTCTCCTATTTTCCCATTTGATTAACAGGTAGATACTCTCCTGATGTCCTTTTATCAGGTAGGGACAGTGGAGGTGAGCAAAGCAAGCAGCTCGACAAGGGCCCTGGAGAGGGCCCTCCAAGGGCCAAGCTCCTCCTGGCACGAGTCCACCTCTGCTTGAATGCGGCTCCAACTCAGACCCTGCACTCTGGGGACCTCTAGCCGCCCACACGGGGACCGTGTCATTTGGAGGGGGCTTCCCAGTAAACATTCCTGATTCACAGGACTTGGAGGCATGTGAGAATCCATACCCTCCCGCATCCGAGATATTAAACGGGCCACTGTGATTAGCAACTCTGGCCCTCATTCTCCAGTTTGTTTCTAGAAGAACAAAGAATTAAGCTTTGTGTTTTCATAAATAGGAATCTAAAATCTCCAAACAGAATAATATGCCATTTTAAGACACTGTCTCTGTGGAAGGTCATCAGAGAGGAGAAAAGATTAAAAAGAAGTGAAGAAAAACAAAAGAAAGAAAGGCCGTGATCTGTTCCTAAGGAGTATGAGTGGGTCTATAAGGGCCTGCGCCCTGGAACCTGGATCCAGTTGCACAGTGTCCCGAAGAATATGGCCACTCAAGGCCACCAGCCTGGCCTCTGGCTCTGTCCCAAGGGTGGGTCCAGGATGGCACAGAGAAGCAGCCCTGTGTGGGCACCAAGGCCTGCTTCTGGTCTGGGCTCCTGGAAATTTCCCCTTGGGCAAGTCCTGCCCGTCCCTGGGCCCCAGCTTCCCACAGCGGCCTCCCAGAGCCCTGCAGCCCCAGGGTTCCCAGACTCCAGACATTGTGGGACGGAGTGGGAAAGCCCACATGTGCTGAGACCCTCTGGCTATCGATTTTCCTCTAAGGGGGAACCTCTGACAGATGGAGAGCCGCCTGCTGGGCCCTGCCTTTGGCCCTGATGACCAGGTGCTCCAGCCGTGCGTGGCTGCCCGCCATCAGGACAGAGCCGACCAGCCGTAGCCACTCTGCTCTGCACACAGGACATCCGTCTAACCTGAATCTGCGTACTCACCCAGCTAGACACTTCCCATGGGCCATGCAGAGGGCTCGGGGATCGAACCCCACGTTCTGGGACTCTGAACAGACCAGGCTCTTTCCCGGAAGCGATGCTGAGACGGTCTGTTGGACTCAGTATGCCGGCCGGACCAGGTTCGTGGGTGTGGTAAGCAGAATGAGGGCCCCTAACATGTCCACGTCTTAATCCTTGGAAGCTGGGAATGTGTGACCTCACATAGCAAGGGAGGCTTTGCCGATATGACTGAGTTAATATCTTGAGATGGGAAATGATCCTGGATTGTCTGGGTGGGAGAGGGAGGCGGGAGGGCCCCACACTGCCGGTCTTGGGGATGGAGGAAGGACTAAGGAAGACAAGAGGCTCCCGAAGCTGGAAAGGCAAGGAACAGATCTCCCCTGGAGCCTCCAGGAGGAACATGGCCCACCCACACCTGGATTTGAGTCCCATGAGACCCAGGTGGGACTTCTGACCTCCAGAATTATGAGATGCTAAATTTGTGCAGCTGAAGCCTCTGGGTTTGTGGCAGACTGGTCAACGGGGCTCACCTGTGGCCCCTCTCTGTCCTGAGCACCAGCATCAGGACCCACCTCCAGCCAGCTGTGACCCAAACCCCAGGCACTGGGCCCACACGCATTGACCACCACTGGCCTAGCCACTGAAGGTGGAAGAAGACAGCGACCTGCCCCCTGGTTGACATCTCCTTCAGCTCTAGGCCTGTCCTTGACCTTAAGGTGACCTTGGGAGCTTCCTGTGGCCCAGGCGGCCTCAGTTTCATCCTGGGTGTAGGAGGGGGTTGGAATGGAAATGTGCATTATTCTTACCCCCACCCCCCGCTATGGGGACACCAGGGCCCCTGTCTTTATTAGAAGTGGGGGGCTCTTGGGCCCACAGGGGTGCTGCCCAGGCCCATACTGGGGCTGGAAGTCGAGGGGAGGGCTGGCAACCAGGATGTTCGGATCCTGTCTCTGCCCCAGTGTGCCCAGGTGGGTCATGCTTCACCTCTGCGGGCGGGAGGGGGCTGCGTGTCTTTGCAGTGTGCAAGTCGTCCGGCATGGGAAGTTTTTATTGAGTATCAGGCTGAAGGTAAACATGCCGTGCTGTAATTATGCACAGTTCAGCCGCTGCCGGGGCTCTCCAGATGGGGTCCTGCGCCAGCGGGGACCATAAACCCTGTCAGAGCAACACGGCTCCTTCCTGCTCATATGCGGCTCCGGGGACGGAGGGTGCCTGGTCTGCCTGGGGGCTGCACTCCTGGCAACATGCAGCCCTCGTCTGGGCACCCCACTGGCCGGCCTGCACTCTCTGGGGCCTGGGGGGTGGTTGTCCGGTCACGAGGGCAGACTCTGCACCCAGCTGCACCTGGTTTCCCAGGACGGTGTTTCCTGCCGCGTCGGAGGCAAGTAGGCCAGCAGCGTGCAGGAGAGGACGGCAGGTCCCGAGCCTCTTCCTATGTGCTGCTGTGGGCACAGTCAGGCTTGTGGTGCCCACGGCGGCCAACCACGGCCGCGCACACCAGCTTCAGGAGCCTCCTCTGGCTGGAAGTCCGGAGCTCCAGGCAGCAGTCTTGTTCTCTTGTTCATGGTGTCTAATGGCACTTGGCCTGAGCAGAATATTCCAAAGCATCCCTGGCTCCCTGCATTCCCATCAGCCCCCTCAACATAGCGTCTCCTTGGAGCCCCAACCTCACCTGGTGGAGCAGAGAACGACTTCTGCCAGGCCTGCTACAGCTAACAGACCTCATGGGCACCAGAGCCCCTGGCAGCCGGGCATCCTGACCTCACGGCACTGCAGCCCCTGGCAGCCGGGCATCCTGACCTCACGGCACCGCAGCCCCTGGCAGCCGGGCGTCCTGACCTCACCCTCCCCCCAAGCAACCCAGAGGCCCGGCCCCAGTGCTGACTGACCTGTTCCCTCCTCTAGAGCCCTCCAGGGAGAGAGCACTCAGCGGGAGCACTACCCCAGCCTGTGGATTCACGGCCTCAGTGTCCTCATTTTTAAAAGGCTGATGGACCAGGGTCTACTCCCAGATGGTTTACTATACCCCTCCCAGCTTCTATTCCACTTTCTATTCTTTTCTCTTCATTTTCCAGTTTGGTGCCAGGACCCCAGTCATGGTCATGTTGGTGTCCCTCCCCTCAGACCCACCTTACTGGCTGGTGCACTCATGCCCAGCCCCTGAGCTCGGCAGCCTTGGGCTCACAGTGGCATGTTGTTAGATAATTGTGCTCAGCCCATCCTGACCTCACCCAGAGGCTGTGCTTCCCCCGGGGCTGCCTGACTTGGGGTGAAGTCTTGGGTGCGGTCCACAGTCCAGGGCCCCCAGGCTCGGCCGCAGCTGCCCTACCCACTTTCCTGCTCCCTTCTGCCCGGAAATCACTCCTTTGGGACACATAGGCATCCACTCCTTCTAGGACCCCGATCAGGACAAACCCCAAAGGGGAGGAAGGACTAAGTGTTCCAGGAGACTTTCCATCAGGTGAGACAGCAGCTGGTGCCTCTGCCAGGGACACCTGCCCTCACCTGCCCCCACTGCCTCCCTCTTCCCTAGAAGACCTGCATTTTGGGTTTTCAAAACCAAGACCTGATCCCACCAAACACGGCCCTGCCATCTCTACGTAGCTCGAGGACCCAGGCAACAACGTGAGATGTTCATTGAGAAGGGGGTGGTTAACCAGGCTCTGCAGATGTGACACAGGCCTGGGGCACTTCAGCTCATCCCACAAGCAGCTGGGCCACTTCAGGGGAGAATTACTAAGGAGCTGGCAGCCTTGGAAATGCAGGTGCCTGGTGGCTTGGAGAGGTGTCTGTCTGGCTGTGGGCACAGGGAGAGGGCAGAGTTGGCCCCGGGCCAAAGTCCATGAGGGGGACCAGCCTCAGATGACCCCCAGGCTCTCCCACCTGGCTCTGGGAGGCTGTCCTACCCACAGAGCATTGGCCTTCTAGGTAATCCACTGTAAGTCACTAGTTTTCCTAAGACCCAGGCAGGATGCTGGGTCCTGAGAAAGTTCTGGTCAGCAGCGGGGGAGCGGGACTTGAGAATAAGAAGCTGAAGACAAGTGAAGACATCCACTGCTCCTGGGCTGGGCAAGCCCACGTCCTGTCATGCAGTGTCATGGGACTTAAGAGAGATGGGGTTTCAACTCTGGGCCCTAGGCTGCCACTTACCGATCTTGTGCTGACCTGACACTATGCTGAAGGGAGGCCAGTGGGTCTTGGCAGGTGGGCCTGGGCAGGTGGGGCCCTCAGGTGAGTTTGGGCAGTAAGTCTGGACAGGTGGCTTATGGTCAGGTGGGTCTAGGCAAATGGGCTTGGGCACCTGAGTCTGGACTAGAAGGCCCAGGCAGCTGGGTGCAAGCAAGGATCTGGACAGAAAGGTCTGGCAGATGGGTCTGGGCAGCTGTGCAGCAGGGAATTAGGGACTCTGCTGAAGCGGCCCCCAGTGCCGGGCTGACTGGTGTGAGAGGGACCCCTGGCTTCCTGGCCTCCTCTACTGGAAAGCGTAAGGCGGGGCTGCCCAGGTGGGACCGACTTCCAGCAGGGCCTGTGGGACCCACTTGAATTCCTCCCAGTGTCCTGGTTTCCAAAGAAAACGAGGTATCTCGTCAGCACAGACCAGAGCAGTCAGGGGAAGTCGGCTCTCTTAAGCGCCAAGTGCCGCGGCTAAGGGCTGCTCCCCGCGGCTGTCTCTCCTGTCCCCGGTGAAACCTGCATCCTCGACACTCTAAAACATGCTGCCCCACAGCAAGGCCCCAGATCTTCTCCCTCAGGTG